CCACGGACACATGTATTATCTGTTAATAATTCCATTTATAGAAACTTGCTTGTTTCCGCAGATAATTCAAACGAAAAACTGAACAAGCCAACAGACGCAACTGTCAGGGTATGTCGAGCTTCGATCCGTGAAGCTTTCAGCGCTGCCGTTTTTGTTGCTTTTGTCATTTAAAGTCTAATCAAAACATTTGAAGTTACTTAAGAAACCTACGCAGACTTAAGTTGCGTTTCTTGTTTCGAATTCGAATTCTTAACTTGTCGCAGCTTTGTCTTTGTTCGCGTCTGTCTGTTCCACTGTCTCTATCTCTGTCTGTCTCCGCTGCTGTGCTGTTGCTGCTGCTGCTGCGGCTGCGCTGTTCTCTCACTGTCTGTTTTTTTTTTTCTGCTGTCTGCCGTTACAGTCGGAGGCTAAATACATTATAAATTAGGTTTTTGCGACATTTATTTGTCTACAAAATAGTAAAACAGACTTTAAAGGGTCTTTAAAATGCCCTCTACTCAGCATTTTGTTTCAATTTTGAAACATGTATTACAGTACATCCATATTGATCTACAAATATATCGTAGAATTCCAAATTTGGTGCTCGGTTCTTGAGTTTCGGTGGCCTAAGTTTGGTGCCGTTTTTTTCTTGTTTTTATTTGATTGTTGCTGGTTGCTTGTTTGTCTGCCCTTTCAAATGATACAACAGCTTCGGAAGGTTACCCATATGCCCGTGTTATTTTTTGATCACTTAGGTCCCAAAAAGAGCGATGAATACATACGTATGTACAAATGTGAGTATTTGTTTGGTCTAAATAGCGCCGCCTTATAGCTTTCCCCCCCCCGGGTGACTCAGTTCTTTTGTGAACTTTAGTGCTGGCGCCGTGCCAGTGGATAGTGCCGTACTACCTCTTAGTCAGCCGCGACTTACCTCCCACCGCCCACTCCACCAGAGTGGAGCTAGTCCAAGGTCGTCGTCCTCCTACACACGCTTCTCACTCCAAGCCAGTGACAACGCCATCAGCCATGCTTACGAGCAGTAAATGCAAATTATAGACAAACATACATAATATGTATGTAAATATGAATGTAAATTACAGTAAAAGCTCGCGGAGAGGACCAATAGACTAAGGATAGTCGATATGCTCGAGAGATCCACCAAGAGAGTTTTATGGGCATCATTTTAGTTCGAAATGTAACTCGAAATCACAGCACTTCATTTTTACCATTATAGTATCATTATTTGCCCTTCTGCTCTGTATTTATGTATGCTAAGTTCTAGAACAAAAGAGAGATAAAAGTCCACTCCATGGCACTGTTCATTTGCGTAGATTTTACTGTTAATTTCTCTGGTGGCGTTGCCTGGTTGTCCTTTTGTGTTCCTCGCTCTATTGATTTCGCTGTGAATGCCGAAACGAGAGACAAAGCCGGGACATAACTTCGCCAAGTGCATTTACCCTACTCTGCCCATAACGGCACCTACAACAGCTGGATGCAGGGGTGGAGAGGGGGCTGAGGGTGAGCGAGTGGCGCATTTATGGTGACGATGACAGTGATGACGCCTGACGCCTGGCGCCTGATGGCTTGATGCTTGATGTTGCAAATGTGGCATAGGAGATGATGACAATGCGACAGAGACAGAGAGAGCGAGAGAGAGACTCTTTCCATATGGCAATGCATCACGAGACAAAAGAAGAGGAGATGCAGGTGGAGGGAGCCATAAAAGGAGCCAAACAATCATCTCTGTATGCAAAAGAGGGAGAGAGAGAGAGAGAGAGACTGTGGACTGTGGACTGTGGACTGTAAGGGAACTCCATTGAAGTGCTGTTACCATTGTTGGCTCAATGGCTGAAAATGGATAGATAATAACTTGTGAAAATAACTTTTGCACTTGAACGAGATTTGAAATTGTTGCTCTGCTCCATTGAACGGGGGAGCACATGGAGAGCTGCATCTAGGGGTAGGGGTAGGTAGGCCTGTCAAAATCATGGTCCATGGTCCCATGGTTCATGGGTGATTTCTGACATGTGCGAGTGCATCAAGTTCAGGCCATGGCGGGAATGTGCTGTCGGACTGCGACTGTGACTCTGTGTGTGTGTGGTGGTGTGGTGGGGGATGGGGATGGGAATGTTGCTGCCTCGAAATGAAATCGTTTCGATTGTCGCTTCAAGTGTCATTGAACGTTTGGGTGGCAAGCAAAAGGGCGACGGAGAGCTGTGCGAGCGGTGAGGCGGCGGCGGGTGCCAGAGATGTGGAATGAAGTGAAGCAAAGTGAAGTGGAGCCCTCTCACACACTTGAAACCAAATGCGACTTGCATTTCTTTCTCTCTGGATCCATCGCGTATGTGTATCGATACTCGCCCACCCTCCCCCACCCCAACCGACCAGTGCATTGTGAAACCCCACACCACACCACACCACACTATAGCGATCCCCAACTCCAACGCTGGCATGGCGTTTGTAATTGTTAATTGAAAAAGTCAACAGCCAAAAAAAAAAATGAAATTTGTTGCTTTTATAACATATTTTCCATACACCGAGGGGTATCCCTCGATCACTTTTACTGTCATTTGGCATTTCACACATTTCGAGGTGTAAATGGAAATGGAAATGGAAATGGAAATGGAGGAAAGCTGGGAGGCATAAAAACAACCAACAACTTTCGCCTAGGGCCAAAGTGGGTAGAAGGTGGAGTGTAAAACAAAACACATAAGAGAAGAATAGAAAGAAGAGCGAAAGGAATATAAAAACAAAGAAATAATTCAATCTCATATTTGCGCTCAATTCTGAGCGAGTCCACAAACGTTTCATTGACACAAATATGTATGTATGTACATATTATGTACATATGTATGTATGGCGATGCACATGCATACATCAGCCAATCAATATTATTAGATTTAAAAGTAATATACCTTAATTAGCAACAGCAGCGGCAGGAAGACTTCGAGAGCTGTACCAAAACGTTGACACAAGAGAGAGAGAGAGAGAGAGTTTACATAAAATGTATGTACACACATGCTGTAAGGCCTAAGGCTAATTATGCCCAGTGGGAGTGACGTTGCACTGGCCACAAATTAAAATGTGGGAAACGGCAATTTTCGAGGCAAATGCAATTACCAGAGGGAGCAGAGTGGCGGCGGAGGAGCTCGTATCGAAATGGGAATGGGAATGGGAATGGGACGGGCCTTATAAGCGAAAATGATGTCGACGCATCCTATGCGATTTATACGAATATGTTGGCTTGGCGATGTTTTTTTGGATTTTTTTAATTAAATTCACTTTCAAAAATACCGCTAATCAGTCGAACAAAAGGCCGCAGCGAACACATTTGCATATTTGTTTGTCTCTCCAAATGAAAATGGCAACAAAGTAACGAAAATATCAAAAAAATAAGAGAAGAGAAGAGAAGAAAACATCAACTGACGATGTCTTTCTGTCATTCTCCCTCCCCAACCCTCAGCTGGGGGGCGTGGCTGTGAATAGATTGATCGATCTGGACAAACAAATACGAATTTGCATGCAGGTCCAGCCATGAAAGTGAAATTCCAACCATCCAGCAAGATGAGATGCGAATTTGTCAGAGACCCCTCAGGGGGGCTCCTGCAATTTCCAATCAGCTGACTCGATTCCATTCATCGATTCCCCCATCATCATCATCAATGGCATCAAATTAGCCAATACACCGATGGACCTATTCGCTCGCCACCATTGGTGGGGGGGGGGATCGCTGATCGCGCATTTCGGAATGCGAAATCTGTTCAAGCATTGTACATATGTACATATGTATGTATGTATGTACAGCTAGATGTAAACGGTGTGCCTTAATTAAGACCAACCTCATCGGGCATGAGTGTTACGCAAGTGGCGGCTAATGCTGCTACAACCGAGGAAAAGAGCACAGCGAAGAGCAGAAAGTAAACAGCACCAACTGGGAAGCAAATTGGGAAGTCTTTTACGGGACTGTACCACACACGTAATGCCTATATATTGAATAAGAGTTTGTCACCCACATCTTTGAAAAGCTTCCTCTAAGCCACTAAGAATAGTCATCGAGAATTGCCATCAAATGCATTCTAATCGCTTTGGCTTGGGCCACTCACTTATGGGGAACTTGCACAGCAGAATGTGTTCCATGTATTCCCCAATACTTACCCAATGCACAACATCTCCGTTTTGTTAAACATTTCCTCAAGTGTAAAGACATTCTCTTTGCTTGGCGAACCTGTTCTCTGTGGCTCACTGGCTATGGCTGGAGTTAATCCTTTCGTGGCAGCATCCTCGCACAGAAACATAAATGATAAACGCTGAGATAAGCCTCCGCCCAAGGGGCTGGGCCGTGACCTTGTGCGCTTCAGCAGTCCCTCTGCCTTTCGGGATGGGATTCAACGATGAATTCCCATAATGGGAATGGGGAATGGGGAATGGCATTCATCTTTTGGAGCTATTCCCGCGCTGAAGTTCACAGTTCAATTGCGTTTACCGCTAATTAGTGGCCGGAATTGGAAGTGGGACTTGGGGCACGCCGCACCGTGCTGGGGTGTGAGCCATTAACCTGGCGCCCAATGCCCAATAGCTGCCCGGCCACCTTTTAGCCATGTCTTGAGGTTGGGGCACGGGGCAGGGGTCTCTCGCTGCTGCTGCTGGTTTTGTTGGGGGGTTTTTTATTTCAAGTAACCGACGACTGCCGCGAGTCACTTTTATGTTTTATTTATTGATTTTATTTGTATAACTTTTGCAGTTTTTGCTGCTGCTGGCGGCAACCGGCGTTATTGTTGCTGCTGCTGCTGCTGCTGCTGCTGCGGTTTTTGCGTCCCATAATTATGTCAGCTGCAGTGGCACAATCATAAATTTTCGCTCTTTTTCCGCTGCTTTGCAGTGATGGAGGGGCTGAGAGGCCCAAAATATTTACAATTTACGATCTACTTGCTGCCAAAGCGATTTCATTGCGACATTTACATGTTTCAGCGCAAAAAGAACTCACATTAATCTCTGATTTATTTCCCACTCTCTCTTTGCAGAAGCCGAAATATCCGAGATACAATCCGAAACGAATCGAGCCGCAATGCTGTGGCAGCCACTGACTAGCGATAATCCTACGTAACTCTGCTGCAACCGAGCGATAAAGCGAAAGCGAATCAGCTTCCATTTCTTCGAGAGCTAACTGCAGTCGCAGAACCCCACACACACCCCACACACACCCCACACACACGGCATGGCCATGTTGGAGGCACGGCCTTACAGGCCCTTCAAGTCCAGCGAGGAGTATCTGGAGGCCATGAAGGAGGATCTGGCCGAGTGGCTGAGCACCCTCTATCCCGAGCTGAGCATCAATGCCGAGAACTTTATGGATCGACTCGACACCGGCGTGGCACTCTGCAAGGTAAGTGGTGGATGGTTGGGGTGCATGGAACTCGCACACTCTAAAAAGAGTGTTGGAACCCCCCCAAACGGATTTCCATTTCATCTCTTATGCTTTTCACTACACCTGCCCCAGACTCTGATGCACTCCAGGCAGCGGCAAACGGGGTCACTGGGGGTTCATTGAGCCTGCAGACTGCAGACTGCACACTGCCTGTGCCTGTGCCTGTGCCTCTTGCATTTGCATTTTCCTTTCCCTGCGAATGGAAATTAGCCACTGAATGGGGATGTGCGCGGCTCTGTGGGTGACACAGTTGGCATTAAGTCGAGCACAAATGCAACAAAAAAAAAAACAGGAGGCAGGCGGACAAATGTCTAATAAATGCACGCATGGAAGGGTCTGCTTCCATGCCCCCTCCAGCTGTTGCTCTCAAGCAGTGGGAACAGATGGAATCGTTCGGGGAATGGGAAGAGTCAGGGTAGCGGCTTTGCCCTGGAGGAGCATCTCTCGGACTGCGAAATAAATGAAGCCATTGGATTAGCATTGAATCGATGTCGTGTTCCTGTGAGCCGCTGAATCATCCATTCGAGGCATTCCCAGATGATCGCCATTGCCATCTCGGGCGTTGTCGCTTTGGCTCGCTTCTAATTCGGTTTTGGTTTTGGCTTCGTCTTTGGCTTGGTTTGGTTTTGGTTTTGGTTTTGGTTTTGGGTTTGGTTGCTTTTCGGTTTTGGTTTGGTTTGGTTTGGTTGGGTGGCACATGCCATAAACACAGAACCCCCCTGCCCTGCCCTGCACTGCTTTGCCGTGCCCTCCTCCTGTGATTGCGGCGCTGAGTGGCGCCAGTAGCACCCGACATCGTCACGCTGGAGGCCAATAGCAAGACCTCAACCCGTAGACAATTTGTCTTTACTTGTTGTTGCTTGTTGCTGCTCGATGTTGCAGTTGTTGCAGCACTTTTTGCCGCCAGTTGTTGTCAGACAGACTTTGCGGATTTGTATCGGCAACGAGATCGCAGAAGCAGCAGCAGCAGCAGCAGCGAAGCAACAGTCGCAGCCTCATCGTGTGGTTGCCCTCTTTGGGGTCTCATGCTGGGAGGCGGCATTGTTGTGGCAGATGCCGCCTCGATGCTCTCTGGCATCGTCTGGGTCCTCGAAAGTAAAAACGTGTAAGCGGCGGCTGGCTCTGCATCTCTTCCCAGTCTGTGGACCCATGTGGCAGAACATTGAAGATTGCCAGAATGGCCATCAATTAGTGTTTTGCCGGTGTCGTCGTCGTCGTCGTCGTCGTGGAGTTCCGTTTCGTTTCATTCCCTTCCGCTTCGTTCCTGTTGTCCGAGAGAGAGAGAGAGAGAGAGAGAGAGAGTGGGAGAGTGTGAGTTGTGCTCCAATCTGTGCGCATATTCGAGCTTTGTATGCTCTTTCCGCAGCTCACACAAATATCCGGATAGAGGCTCAGGCAAGAATGATCTCTGTACCGAAGCTCTTTGCTGACTCTGCCCTGCCATTGCCGGTGCACCGCTCCGACCACCCCGCACCCCGTACCACACACCACACCACACCCGGACGAGTGCTCGATATGGTGATGGATATGCGTGCAGCATAATCATAAAGTTGCTTTGATCTTCTGTCTGTGCTGTCTTGAAATAAATGAAATGACTCAGCCACGGGCATAAATTTTGCATAAACACACACACACACACGCACACGCACCGAGGTGGTGCTGGGGTACTGCCGGAAATGTCATAAGCATAAATATAATTTTTGGATAATTGTGTGTGTCGCGAAGCGTTAATGGAACTTTAATTGAAACTCTGCGACAGCAACGAGAGCCCAGCTGCAGCTGCACAAGGGGCAAAGGGGTAAACATCTCCTTGAACGATACAAACACAGATCCCCAGATGCTGCACAGTCGATGTGTTGTCTGATGTCTTCATCATCTGGACAAGAGTCGTAATTTCGGCTTGATGGCCGAGACATCATCATCATCATCATCATCATCATCATCATCTGCAACGTCTAGCACTTCAGTTTACTGGCTCTACACTGAGCGTAAGACGAAGTGCAAACAGAATGTAATTAACTTTGATTTAGGCATACTGCTCGCCATTTGCTGGCTTCCTTTTTTCGCTCGGTGTACGTGGCCGGGGGCCAATTAGCCAAAGGAGATCGTTAGTCGTCTCTGGCGGTCATTAGCGAATTGTCTTAACGATCTGTACAGCCAATTGCCTGCCAATTTATCTACTTAATTATACGAATATTTCTATAGTTAGAATAGAGAGTCCATCTGAATGTGGAAAATGGAATATGGAATATGGAATATGGAATATGAATCTGCATTTGACAGTCCATCTCCTCACCTCACCTCACCCCAGAGATGATTGCCCAACTTTGTCGTAGTTGTTGTTGTTGCTGGTTTTCCCCTTCTGCTTTTCGCTTTTTCTTCTCCTTCTTTCGTAGTTTGTTTGGTTTGCGTCGTCGTCGGCGACGTCGTCGGCGACTAATTGAATTTGATAAAAAATAAGAAAGAAAAAACGCCAGCGAGTGCTTTTAATTGACCAAACACTCACTCGCACACACCCGCCAATTATCCATTGATAACCGCCGAACGGGGGCAGATAATGCGTTTACCCCCCTGCCTCCACTCTCTGCAACACTATTCCAACTTCGATTAAATAACGATTATGTGGAGTGTGGAGTAAAGTGAAGTGCGCTCCACTTCCGCAACTCGAATTCCGAATGCCGAATGCCGAATGTCGAATGCCGAAAACCGAAAACCACTCCAAAACCGTCTCCAAGTCCGTGTCCACACAATACTCCACAATGGTCAATGCAAGTGCCTCTCTCTCTCTCTCGCTCTCTGTCTCTCCTTTCTCGCTAATCAAGCGATGGATGGGCCCATGAAGCAACTATATAAGGAGGTCTCGTCGGCAAAAATTAGGCAAGCGTGCGCTAGTGAAAGGGCTCTCGCTGTAAGTGCGAGGGCAACGGCAATGGAGTGTGCTGATTTTGACTTTGCTCCCACAATTTTCTCTTCTAACAAACATACCGGTACATGTACCAATTTCACATCTTTCGCGACCTTGCCGCCTAAACTGCACCAAATCAGTTTTTGGCGAACATACGGTAAACACTTGCAAACAAATTTTGTCCGCAAGCAACGTTCCGCGTCGACAAGCAAACGAGCACCGAAAATTAGGAAAAGCAGCGACGAGACCTCCTTATAGTTACTTCATGGATGGGCCCAATAGAAAGCCGTGGCCCAAAGTGCACGTCATGGGCCCTCGTACTACCCTTGGAAAGCCAACTCCAACACGGAAATGTGTCCAAATAGGCAGACAACTACAGTACAGTCCTGGCAAGTTCTTTTTGTTTTGTTTTTTAATTTAATCGCTATCCGCATTGACCAGGTACAAATGTTACTAAAAATTGTGAACTCAAAAAAAGAGTTGTTTGCCGAACGAACACTAGAAATGGAACCACTGGCAAGTTCGATGTTTAGTTCACTAGTTCACTGGTTCACTGGTTCACGAAGCTCACTCCGAGAGCGACAGCATGGCAGTTCCGAAATGAAAAAAAATAAACAACTTAGCAGGCGATGAAATACTCAACAACAAAAGTTTCGAGTCAAGTAGGAAAGTCAGTAAAAAATCGAATTTCGGTGAAATAGGAGCCTCCGAATAAAAACTACACAGTACACAAAGTACAAATTGCAAGATGAACTCGAACAAGGATCGTCAGCGCCCCAGGCACAACGCGAAGGCCCTCTGGGAGCAGCTCCTAAAGATAGACGCCAAAGCCACGGAGTTGGACCAGAAATATGCCCAAAAGCGTTGCCATGAAGTGGCGCAGGAGCGTGAGAGTAGCCTGGGCAGGAAGAAGATCAAGTGGACACCGGGTAAGGAGCAGATGCAGAAGCAGCTGGAGCAGCGCGGCAAAGAGAATTGGCCGGAAGACGTGCCTGGCCCTCGCACTCGCACTCGCTCAAGTTCTGGCTCTCGCTCTCGTTCTCGCTTCCGTTACTCCACTCGCTCTCGTTCCCGTTCCCGTTCCCGTTCTCGCTCTCCCACTCGTGCTATGTACACTTGGAGAGACCAGCTGGAGGCTAAGCCGCGCAGCCAGGATTCACCGGAACTGCCAGTCGCCAGAAGATTGGACCGCAAAAGCCGCAGTCCTGTGCGCAGTGCCAGCAAGGAGCGGGTACGCGATGCGAACAGCACTTCGAGACGTGCGGAGATGAGACGAGTTCGTGGTGGCAGATCGTCGTCGAGTTCCTCCAACGAGCAGGAGATCTACCGCAGGCGTTGGGGCATCACCATCGAGCGCATTGGCGGCTACTGTGATATGCCGCTGCCCCGGCCAATAAAGGACTTCCGGGATATGCCCTTCAACCCCTACTTGCGCCGCACACTAGAGCAACGCGGCATCTTCGAGCCGACCATCGTGCAGTCGCAGACCTGGCCGGTGGTCTTTGCGGGCAGCAGCCTGTTGGCCGTGACCCATAGACGCCACAACGGCGGCAAGTCCCTGACGTACATCCTGGCAGCCATCCAACACCTCCAGAAGCAGCGCCCGTTGGCATCGGCCCTCGATGGCGGACCCATCGCCCTCATCCTCATGCCCGGCCGCGAGGCAGTCGAGATAATTGTGCGGATGGCGAATGTCTACGCAGCGCCCCTAGGGATTCGCACCAACTGCTGGCTCGGCGGCGAGCAGCACAACGGGGAGCAGAGCTGCGCGCTGATGGTGAGCACCCCCCAAGACCTGGAGGATCCGCGCTGCCAGGTGAAGCTGGATCGATGCTCCTTTCTTGTGGTGAACGGAGTCGACCACTTCACGGCCTCGGGACTCGGGGACCACATATGCCGCATCATTGCCCAGGCACGCGACAATGTGCAGCTGCTCCTCTGGACAGTCGAGCTGACGCCGGCTGTCGAGCTGCTGATCCCGCGCACAATGCGTCGGGACTACGTGAAGATGGTGTTTGGGAAATCGCCAGCGGAGGAGAAGATCGCATTGCCC